TTTTTGGCTGAAACGATGCAGGGCCTGTGGGCCCCGGATGTCAGGCTTTTGGGGTGAACCGTCATGGGGTCTGCAGACCCTTATTTCCAGGCCTTGAGCCCGAAATTCAGGCTTCCAGCCTGAACGACGCAGGGCCTGGAAAATGGCCCTCCTGTGCAGGCGCAGCATCACACGAGGGTTTTCGGATCACCAAAATTGCAAATGGGGTAGCGTTTGTCAGCGGCCTGGCGGGCCGCGGGGATGTGCATTAAACTGCATTTTGCTACCACCTTGAGAGGTGGTGGCAAATTCTCTTTTGGCCGTGGCAAATTCTCTTTCGCAAATTCTCTTTTGCCTTTTGGAAATTCGTAAAAGAAAGTTTCCCCGCTTTGTGACCATGCGAGGCACCAATTTTGCAATTGCCAGAGAGTCCCGCTCGTGTCCTTTCTGATTTGCAACCCTTGTGTGACCGGGCGGGGTATGATTGCTGCAAACATGGGAGAGAAAATTCAGCAGATTTTGATAGATTGCCACCGCTGTGTGAGTACGCCCTAAGTGTGTTTATTGCATTGCATTAGCCTACTTTTTTTTAATTAAAAAAAAAAGGGCGACGGCGTTGAGAAATCATCATCGAACTGAACGGCCCGAGGTAATTCAAAATTGCACTATTTTAATAATCTCCTTGTTGTGGAGTTCAAGGTCTGTATTTCAACAGCTCAGGGGTGTACCCCCCAACTGAGGTAGCCCAGTAGTAGCAAATGAGAGACTCCAGCGGCTGCTGCATGCATTCCCAGATAAACTGACTGCAGGCAAGCTTTTTTTAAGGTTTTTTTTTTTTTTTTTTTTTTTTTTTTTCACCGCAAACAAGCTCCAGGGGTCAGATGGCCAAATCGCTCAGGGAACTGCTGCCCAAAGTCCCGCCAGTTCGTGAACGTCTGCTCCCTATGCCAAGTCTGCTCCGTCCTCGCAATCCTCCGGGAATCCGCTCCTTGAGAAGCTCATTCGACCAGCCCTGAGCCAAAGGACGGCCAGCCATGTCCAAGGGTCGGTCTTCCCTTCTTTGCAGAGAGGACCCTGGCGCGGGGAAGGAATGAGGTCCATGTTTCCGACCGATGTCCGCATAAATAACCCCCTCCCCCTGTCGTCTGTCCACCGCCATTGCTCTCTTTCTCCCTCGGCGCCCAATTCCGGTTCCGATCAGGAGGAGGGGCTGTCACCTGCCATGATGACGATGACGAGGTGCCACACGTCAAGGTCAAACGCTTTCGAGGGAGCCTCGGAGCGGAAGTGGAGAAGCTGCGATACCAACCTCACGCCCAGCGCAGCGTCCTGTACCCGTGTGACACTGAGCAGAGTATGTGGGGCGTTGCCGAGGAAGGATTTTGGGCGGGGAAGTTGAACTGCCAGGACGAAACTGGGGTTCTCGCTCGGAGTCGCCCCGGTGCCAAGGTTATCTTCGGAAACTCAAAACTGCTAGGGAGGGGCAAGGACAAAAGTGCAAGAGAAGTTGGAACTGCCAGGACGAAACTGGGGTTCTCGCTCGGAGTCGCTCCGGTCCCAGGGTTACCTTCGGAAACTCAAAACTGCTAGGGAGGGGCAATGTTGCATACCGTAAAGGTGCAGACCAGAACAAGAACCGCCCCCTCATGCGAAGTACAAGATAGCGTAGCGGAAGACTTAGATACCAATGATCCGAACAATCAATATTGCAATGCAGCCCCAACATACATCATCATCGTTCCATGGTGTGAAGGGGCCTGGCGCTCACACAGGAAGAATGYGCCAGTCCCCRCCATACACARACGAAGAGGWGGGGGGTTAGACGAAGAAGAGGGAAAGATGGGAATGTCGTCAACACCAAGTCTGTGATACAGGTCCCAAATAACCCCCGTCCAATGTCTGAATCCCAATGTCAAGTCTGGATCCAATGTCGTCAAGTCTCAAGTCACAACTCTCTCTCTCTCTCGTAGTCTGCGGATACTGAGAAGTCAGATAGGGAGAGGGTGAAGAAGAGACGGTGGACTTAGAAGAGGAAGAAGAAGAACTCTCTCTCATCTCTGTCCGGTACTAACCTGTGAAGCTGGCGCCTTGATGCAGGTACTCCGAAGATGGAGCTGGAGTTATGGCGCCACAGGTAAGTCTCGCTGGCCTCCGCCAGCCATCTCTCTCCAACACTACTACCACTAGTACACTACCACTACTTAGCGCCCTGCGCTGAAGACTACTCCTGCAGCTACTAGCGCCCAGCGCTGAAGACTACTGCTAGCGCTAAGCTACTCCTGCAGCGCTCCTCCAGAGTGCTGCTGCCGAATCCTGAAGACTGCCTCCTGCCTTCTGTCCAACTACCTGCCCGTGAAGGGCATGGGAACTCCCTATGTACTACTCGGCCTGCCTCCTGACTGCCTGCAGCTGCAGGGCGAGGCAGTCCAGGAGGTTGCTCTTGCCAATACCAGGGCGAACCAGGGGCTGGCACTGCAGCTCCTGCTGAGGCTGTCGTGGGGAACAGGCCAAAAATAGCCTGTTCCCGAAACCCTGGTTTGTTGCCTGAGTTGTAGGGCAGGACGATCTTACGAGGGCCCGAAAGTGGCCCTCCATTTCAGGCTGAAAAACCTCAGGGCTGAAAAGCCCTGTTTTAGGCTGAAACGACATAGGGCCTGCAGGCCCTCGTTTTCAGTCTTTCAGGCTGAAACGACACGGGGCCTGTAAGCCCTTATTTCTAGGCTTTTAGGCTGAGAATGCGGGACGGGCCCTGCAGGCCCGTGTGGCTACGCAGTATGCCACAGGCAAGGACAAAAGTGCAAGAAAAG